ATATCCAAATCAGGATTTATCAACATCCAGTTATTTATCTATTTTAACACCAAAATATTTATTTTACTTGAATTAACTTTACAAAATATTCAACTACTGACCATAAGTATGGCAATCAGCCAGCAACGCCCACTGCTACAAGAGCATTGCCCCCAGTGGCACAGCTGTAAGTCTGAAGGTTTATAACGCTAAAAACCGGGCTTCGATACCTGACATAGCACAGATATCCCATTGTGTAACTTTGTGTTTTAAAAAAAACTTTCAAATACAAGGGTATTCCCTCGCTCACAAAGAGTTCTTAAACGATATGACAATAAAAAAATACTAATCAAAATATACAGAAATAACTGTTTTCAAGTGGTATTTTTTGGATGTACGCCATATGAGCTTTAATCTGGAATCTTGTCTCCTACAGTCAGCGTCTTTATTTTGTATATCATTATTGTCTGCACGATTTAGTGCTTCATTTGTCATTAACGCACATAAAGCTCCTAGTATGGCTTGTTATTCTGCACTGAGCTCCAGGCTCAACAATTAGATATGGCCACACAGGTAGTTAATTACACAGTAGGTAAAAACCCATATAACCTGCACGCAAGTTTTATTACATAAGTAGTTATTTTGTTCCTTTATTCCATAGATACGTTACAAACTGTTATCATTTCACGCAGAGAAGTGTCCCAAAACATTAATTGTAAGTTTCCTCCCCAAAAATAAGTAGCTTATTTGTTCTTGCACCTTTTGAAACAGTAAATATATAAATAAAAAGATCTAACAACTGAGGTCTTTCACGTTATTATACTTTAAAAAGTAAATAGGTTTCACAAATACGAAGCTCAAACTGATATTCAATTCACTGAATTATACCAGTTTTATGGAATTCCACCAGTCATCAGTAAAACCTCGGACAGGGATAAATTGAAAGCAATAGGTTTTAGTTTTGTTGGATGTCGATGGTAGTGAGAAGAAATATATGCATATAATATACACAACATATAAAAAAGTTACCATACCCTAAGTGTTCTTAAACAGAATAAACGAATATATTTATAAATTACAACTTAATGTCTTTTATTGTGCAAATGACCACATTTATTTGACCTTATTAATTTGAAATACAACATATTATGTCATCGAGCCACTTGACAAAGATTGGAGGTGAAGCATTTCGTTGATTTGACCTCACAAAATGCATATCATGAGAAATATGGGCTAAGTGCTAGGCCTAAATCATTCTCATAGGTAGATATTGTGAATCATACGTCCGCCCGTCCATGTTCTGGATGAATGGAAAGAACATTTTTTTTTTTATATCGAAATAAAAGTTGAGATTTTAAAATCTGGTAACTGGTATTATTTTGAAAAAGAGAAATGAAAATTCAATTGCAGATACCATTGACCTTTTTTTTAGTCGAAAAAGTCTGGTAATACTAAATAATAATAAATACAGAAACTACTATAATTTGGTTTTTATTCTAAGTAAAGATTGTTAGCGAACGGGTTGAAGTATCGTGACTAAACTTTATATACGCTTTGGTTTAGTCTGTTTCGAATAAACGCGAAAAGCTATACTATAACTGCACTAGCCATGTGTAATTTAGAACCGAAAGACTTGAGGCAAGGCAGTTATTCAACAGCACCCAACACCAACTCTTGAGCGACTCTAATTGAGTAGTGGAATCTGACCGCCACTGTTAAAAATATCTGCACTAAATTGTCTTTTCATTTCCATCCTGCTTAGAACTTATGGACTGACGCGTTGTCTGATGAGAAATACACGTACTTTAATTTTAAACTAACTTTCAACATACTTATATGAAAAACTCAACAGCACCCAGTTCCAAAAAGTTTGCGAACCTTATAAAAACATGAAAATAAGCCACGCATTGATATTAAGTACAGACCACAATACATTTTAGGTGTCACAGTCTAATAAAATAATATGTACTGCATATTCATCGCAGTCTGATAATATATGTACAGTGTAAATGTTAGTATCACAATATATGTACAGTGTAAATGTTAGTATCACAATATATGTGCAGTGTAAATGTTAGTATCACAATATATGTGCAGTGTAAATGTTAGTATCACAATATATGTGCAGTGTAAATGTTAGTATCACAACTATATGTACAGTGTAAATGTTAGTATCACAATATATGTACAGTGTAAATGTTAGTATCACAATATATGTGCAGTGTAAATGTTAGTTGCACAATATATATACAGTGTAAATGTTAGTATCACAACATATGTACAGTTTAAATGTTAGTATCACAATATATGTGCAGTGTAAATGTTAGTATCACAATATATGTGCAGTGTAAATGTTAGTCTCACAATATATGTACAGTGTAAATGTTAGTATCACAATATATGTGCAGTTTAAATGTTAGTATCACAATATATGTACAGTGTAAATGTTAGTTTCACAATATATATACAGTTTAAATGTTAGTATCACAATATATATACAGTGTAAATGTTAGTATCACAATATATGTGCAGTGTAAATGTTAGTTTCACAATATATATACAGTGTAAATGTTAGTATCACAATATATGTGCAGAATAGACGATATATTCTGACAATCTGTATACAGAAACACGATATTCTGATCATCATTTACATTATTGGTGTTACATTCTGATGTTGAATCTGTAGTATAGTGTGTCACAGTATGATATTATTATTATCTAATCACATAAAAGTTATAGATAATACGCAGGTTAATACTATAAACAGCACAGAGGAGGCAATTTGATAACTTTACTTTGGGTATAAACGTCACAATTTCAAAATAAATTACACTGTGAGATAGCCTGATCATCTATTTACAAAATAGATAATCTATATCACAAGAGCAGCAACAATCTGTTAATGTAATTGAAGTAAATATGTCTCAGTCTCATAACCTATTTGCACTATAGATATTGTAATCTAATAATCATTATTATACTGTAGATAGAACAGTCTGATACTCTACCTGCAAATAGATACTGTAATCTAATGATGTTTATGTACTATAGATAGAACAGTCTGATAATCTACATGCAGTATAGATATCGTAATCTGATAATATTTATATACTAAAGACATCTATCTGTCTGATAATCTATACTCAGTACAGATATCGTAATCTGATCATCTTTATATACTATAGATATCTGTCTGATAATCTATATTTAGTATACATATCGTTATCTAATAATATCTGTATACTATGTATATCTATCTGATAATCTATATACAATCTATATATCGTAATCTGATAATCTTTATATAATATATATAGAACAATCTGATAATCTTTTTGTGTAGGATAGACATTATAGTCTCAGAAGTTAAGTTATCCTGTCCTTTTCGCATCTCACCCTTTGTAAGGTACGTACTGCACAAGTTTAAGTAACTTCTATTATCTTATAACGTTATTTTAGTTCTTTTGAAACTTACCATTACTTATCAAACTACGGTTTTCTGTAACCTTAATGCAGTTCTCTTAAAATCCACCATCGCTCATCACAGCATACATTTTTGTAACGTTAATTTAGTCTTTCATCAAATTACGCGTTATTTATCAAAACCAAGATTGTTTGAAACATTAATAAATGAAACTGATCAACTTCCAAAGGTTTTTTTTTGTTTTCGGCTAACGCCAGCTAATTCCTATATATATATAAAAAAAATCAGAGCCAGAAACGAGTTGAAAGCACGTGGAAGCTTTAAAAATGGTTTCATAAATGCATCTATTTTGGCTAAAAGTATAAAAACAAAATAAATGTTAAAGGTCAAATGCCACAAGCAGTATTTTCTGTTATTACTACCCATCCAATCAAATAGCAACTATCAATATGGAAATAGAAACATGATATAAGGAACAAATGAATAGACTATTATATATATATATATATTTCGTATGCTAGTTATGTAGTTATATAAAAGTGCATGGTAAATCAGACTCAAATGTAATCGTACTACTGTTAGACGTACAATAATAATTATATGACTTCACCATAGCTTCATCAGACAATGTGGCATTGTTGAAACACGATCTGGGCAGTAATTTTATGTATGCGTTATCAACAAAGAAAAGCAGTGTAACGGAAGTGTGGGTATTATCTAATTTCAAGCATTGAAACCTTTTTTTCAGCCTCGACATACCTTATATAGAAAGACAAACGAGCGCGGCACGTGCTAGGTCGACATATATTCAATGCAATAAAAACTTTTAGCGCACTTCGAGTCTCGTGTCCTTCTCGTCAGTAGGTCACAATAATACTTTTTATCTCGCCGAGCGGAAACTCTTGCTTAACTTAACACTGATATCTTCTGTTATAAATGGAGAGTCAGACAGTTGACCAACCTCCCTCCGAACCTAGTTGATTCTGTATATAATGCTGATATTGTATTCCGGATTTTCTTCCCTCTTTTTTCTTTCTTGCCCTTTCAAGCTCAAGTTACGCTGTTCTGACCATTGCCAGTGCACTACCCCACCACACTATATTTCAACACATCTATACAAATGTCATACCCTTGATTTCCAAAACACACTTTTTTTTCTAAACTTTCTATTTCAACGGTGCATACCTTAAAGCTTGACCAACGCTTGTTTCTGAAATATTAGTTCGTCTTAGAACTAAAAATTAATTCATGTAATGAAATGAATTACAGACTACAATACATTTTAGACACCACAAGCTAATAATATATATATATATACTGTAAAAAATAAAAATATCCTTCCTTATTGTGCACTAACAATAAATCGATTGACAGTTGCTATACTTTATGTATTATATATATATATTAAACGATACTAAGTATGAAGTTGTACTGAAACCAGTAATAAGAACGATCAGTAATGAAAAGGTGAATTGAAGTGTTATCTCATTATGTTCGTACAAAATCAATTCTGGTATGAGATACATATTAAAGTGAAAGATACTGCTACTAGATAGAACCAATATTCTGTAGATAACTGCGTATGTTTTCGTAGGCTCATCCCCTATCACCAAGTCTTCACCGTGTGACCTGTGTATTCGTACTGCTCCATCATCGCTGGCAAGATATTGTACTTTCCCCACATGCCAGGGAGATAGCCGAGAGTGTGACGGCATCTTTCACATGCCCACCGGCGGCGTTCCGACTTACCCCGTACCCTACATCACCACTCTGCCAGGCTACACACGTAAGTTGTACGTTTTATCATCCAGGTTAATTTTTGTTGTCACTTATTTCAAGATATTACAGAAAGGCCAGACCGTATTGATATTGTGATTTATCACCCTGTTTAACGTTTTAAAGTTTTGTTGTCACTTATTTCAAGGTATTACAGAAAGGCCAGACGGTATTGATATGTGCTTTATCACCCAGGTTAATTTTTCAAAGTTTTGTTGTCACTTATTTCAAAGTATTACAGAAAGACCAGACCGTATTGATATGTGCTTTATCACCCGGGTGTAGCAAGTTCAGATTACCCCTGCTTCACCTTACCCCAAATTACCCCTGGGGGTAGCTTGAAGGGGATTTCAACCTACCCCCTACGATTTCAGATTACCCCCTCGAAACATTTATTTATTTATATTTATTTAGATACTTATTTCATGCATAAACACAAATAAACTGACAACAACAAATAATAATAATATTTATCATTAAACTGTCATTACCCCCGTAGTGCATGATGTAAGATAAGTTATCTTTCTCTGTAGATCAGAATTACATCAATTACATACGAAACATGCAAATCTTGCACATTAACTACGTGTATGTAATATGTCATGCACTTTGAACTAGTGTATGAGTGGTTTTAATATAATTAACATTTTTATTTTTTCAGATATTGAGACTAGCTTTCAATCTTGTATCTTTCAAGTGTTTTATTCAATAATTTTTAAGCATAATAATTTATCATTTTAGCTAAATCAGCGAGGGTGTAATCTGAACAGTGCAGGGGTAATACGAAATCAGGTTCAGGCTACCCCCGGGGGTAATATGAAATCGATTTCAAATTACCGGGAGGTAACTTGAAGGGGGGGGGGGTAGCTTGAAGTCTTTACACCGGGTTAACGTTTTAAAGTTTTGTTATCACTTATTTCAAGGTATTACAGAAAGACCAGACTATATTAATATGTGCTTTATCATCCTGGTTAATATTTCAAGGTTTGTTATCACTTATTTCAAGGTATTACAGAAAGACCAGACTATATTAATATGTGCTTTATCATCCTGGTTAATATTTAAAGGTTTGTTATCACTTATTTCAAGGTATTACAGAAAGACCAATAGCCGTGGCTATTGAGGATTCCCTCTTATTTGGAATAATTTGTAATGCAAGTATAACATAATTGAGCGATAAATGAAATATTCAAAATGTAATAATATTTAATTTGGTCTTTCTGTAATGCATGAGGTAAGTGATAACAAAGCTTAAAATATTAACCATTGTGATAAAGCACATATTAATATAGTCAATTAGATCTCAAATCGGCCAAGAGATGGGGCTATGAGCTAATAGTTTTTACCTGAAAAAAAAGGAAACAAATTTAATCTATCCATTCAAAAATGCTTGAGTGAAAAAAAAGTAGCTCAAACAGTAGGTAATATCTGATAAACACAAGAAACTAAAGCAACTTGACATTACTCACATTGCATTATTTTATTCATGAACTGTAAAACTGCAGTTAAATTCAATTTGGTTCTTAATTTCCAAAGAATCGTCACTGAGTTACACTGAATAAAATGTGATGTGGTGAATTAAGAGCTAAACTGAATATAAGTTCTGTTTTACAGCACATTGATAAAATGATTCAATATGAACAATGTTAAGGTGCTATATTTGGAAGTGGTTTTTGTAATATCACCTGTTGTTTGAGCTGAGACATATTTGTGGGTTTTTATTTTCGCTCAAGCATTTTTGGATCGATTTCACATTTTGTTGTGTATTACATAAACCCAAGATAATTACATTGTAATTATTATTGTTTAACTAGATCCTTATAAGTAAGTAACTCATACATCAGGATATTACTAATATTACACACGTTATCAAGTAGCTTACATGGGATTGGAACTCGTGTAACCTCTAGGGTTTTCTTCGAGAAAAACTGCAAGCAACAGTGACACCAGATGACACTCTCGTCCCGAGCTAAGATATGTGCAGTGAATTCTAGAAATGAGAGTGACCAGATGAACGGAGGGGGGGGGGGGAGGTTATTATTTTTATAAACTGATGGTGTTGTTTTTTCTCATTCGCGACTGACGTGGCGTTCTTTCATGAATAAACATTTATTTACGAGTAAAAAGAAGTAAGTAACCTCAGCTAAGTAAACGCAGATTGAATCCATTGCTTCATGCCGCTAGCGCTAGGATTAATATATAACGTAAAGTAAATATTCGCTGACTATGGTCATTAGGTGCTCGCGTTGAAAGTGCTCAGTCCAGCGTTCGCCAATGCACTTGGCATGCTTACTTTTTGAGTTGCTTCCCTTAGCAGCGAATAATGGCGATATACAAGTTATTTTGAAGAAATATTTTTAAAGATTTTACATTTCGACAATCAAACTTTACAAAATTGTACACGTTGTACTTTTCCTTTCACACTCATAACACTAAGAAAAAGAATACTTGCATCAAATAAATTATTTCTGAACCAAGATTGGAGGTACTGAAATCTTATGGAAAACTTCACATTGTTCTTGAATCAAAAGTAGGCAAAACTATTGAATGAGGTCCATAATGTTTAGGATAGAGCAAAACATTTGCCATTTTTAATTTTGGAGATGGGTAATAACTTATAAGCATGCACATTTTATGCATATCGAACAAACTATGTAAACAGAAAAGTTTGTTTGTTTATTGAATTTCGCGCAAAACTACTCGACGGCTATCTGCACTAGCCGTCCCTAATTTTGAAATGATAGACAAGAGGGAAAGCAGCTAGTCAACACCACCTACTCCCAACTCTTGAAATATTCTTTTCCAAGGAAAAGCGGGATTGACCGTAACGTTATAACGTCCCCACGGCTAAAAGGGAGTGGGATATTCAATGATGGGATTTGAACTCAAGAGCCTCAGAATGCGAGTGAAATGCCCTAACCACCAGGTCATACCAAGTCTCAGTAATTTTGAATCTTCTATTCCTTTTTGTTTTGGCTAGAAAGCTATCTTTTGTTTTATGTCACATGAATTGTTTATGAGGATTCCTTTTTTGTTGTCTCGTCATATTTTCAAACATTTTTATGTCAAATTAGAGCTTTAGCAGATTGTGAAACCATATAAATCAGTTAATAAAACTATATTCTGAATAGAGAGTACGTTCAATGTCTATTCGTTCTTTCTCTCAACTGGCGCTATAAATACTCGCCCTTTCAGTCATTGGGGCGTTATAATGACAGTGAATTCCATTATTCGTTGGGAAAATAGTAGCCCAAGAGTTGGCGGTGGGTACTGCCGGCCGGTTGCCTTCCCTCTTACTGGCAGTTTAAAATTAGGGCTGAAGATAATCTCAGCAGCTTTACCAAACAAACATACAATCGTTCTTTCTAATTGATTGCCTTCCAGTGGTTCAGCAGAATGTTTGCAGACTTACGACACTAAAAATTGGGTTTCGAAACCAAAGGATGGCCAAGTAACAGATAGCCCATTGTGTAACTTTATGCTTACCAACAACTAAATCTAATCAATTACCTCAATTTTTGTATTAGTTATAATATTGTGTTCAAAAAGGTAGTATCATTCTAGAATCTTTCCATTCTGTTTCAGGTAACAGTGCCGTGTGCTATTGTTAGTTGGACACTGGGGTCTAAGATAATATTAGTTTTTCACTGATTAAGCTCAACACATCTGAGTAATTTAATAGGATGAAATATAAAGACTCTGCGTTAGTTGTCACCGTGGCTGTAGCTAGCTATGAGGTCACCGAGGTCGAGACCTCGGTTAAAATTTGAAATTAAATGTAACGTAGTATTTAATTTTACACCCATATGAAAAAGATATACAACATCTAAGACTGACTCTATTTTCACTATATATTCACTGGTTGTTTGTATTTAAGTACAAAGTTGCAAAATTAGCTATGTAGGCTGTGCCCATCGTAGGAATCGAACCAGCATTCAAAAGCCATTAAGTTTATTGAACCACAGGGATGGGGACTAAACAAACAACAAAGAAGGTTCGGTTGAGAGGAGTAAATCTTACCTCTATCTGTAATATATACACATATATAACTAAAGTTACGAACCTCTTCACTGCTAAATATTATTCATGATAAACCTGACTTTAGGTGTGTTTCAACGAGCCAAAGTTTCGTAGTTTCTACTCATTTCACGTTAATTTGATTTTTCAAAGTGTTGGACCAGGGTGATTTACTGGTTTATAGTGCCCAAACAGTAATTCCAAAGATTTAAAAATCGAGACCCTTTGCCGAAAAGACTCTCTGCAATTCGGGCTTTGGATGCAGTATAAGGGTGATTGTTAAATTCTACTATTCGATCAGATAAGAGTCGAGGCTGAGTGTTGCTAACTACACGCTTTCCCTCTAGTCTGTCAGCTCAAAATTAGAGACGAATATAACTGCACATAGCTCTTGTGTAGCTTTGCGCAAAATTCTGAAGAAGACAAAATCCAAGTGTAACTAACAATGGTTCAAAATGTTTCTAAGCTTTGACTTATTTTGTATGATAAGAATAGCAGGTGGTGTAATTTGGGTTGAAACAACTGATATTAACATTTTTTCAACTCGTCATCTTTTTTTTTTTGCGGATTTATCTTTCTTCTGTTCTTGAAATATTTATGATTAAATTGCATAATAGTTAAGAACTTACTTTATTCTAAATCACAATTTCAACCATATTCAAAATAAAAATGTAATTAACAAGTATGTTTTGCGATTTTATTGCATTAAGTAAGCTGCACAACGGGTCATATGCGCTATGTCCGCCGAAGGAATCGAACCCCGAATTCTAGTACTATAATTCCCGAAGTTTACTGCGTAGTAACCGGAATAACTGCCATAGTTTACAAAATCATGGTTTTGATGAACATA